GTAAAAGAAAGACGTGTTGGAAATATTGAATAAAAAATAAAACCCAGTCTATCCAATTTCATTGCATGCATTTCAAATAAATCTTCATAAAAAAGAAAAGAACAGCGGAGCCGACCTTTTAATACTATCCACCATTTGAAAGGAATTATAAAAATTTCAAAAGATTCCAGAAAATATCGCTTAAATGAAAACCGTCATATGGGGCCTATACGAAGACGTCGACCTGCATAGACAATCTTCTGACTTAAGTTGTAGCACTAATTACGAACTTCAAATACGAATTTTGAAAGAGTTCCGGCAAAATGTCTAAAATCATTAAAATACCGAATAAAGGGAGGAGCCCCTATATGGGGCTATACGAAGACATGGATCTTCATACGATTTTTTTCTCAAAGGCTCTAGTACCCATTACCAATTTTAAATACGAAATTTGAAAACATTTCGGGCAATAATTTCTCTAAAGTCATAAAAATACCGAGTATTTAGATGTGCCGATATATGGCGGCTATACGAAGACATGGACATAGTATCCATTACGAACTTTAAATACGAAATTTGAAGCAATTCCTTATGTGGGGGCTATACGAAAACTTGGACCGACATGGCCAATTTACGAACTCAACCTGCCTACTGGAATGCATGATCTTCCAGAAGATCACCAATGTAAGTAAACACTTATATTAACTTTGTCATTTCGTTTGTAACTCCTCCAAATATTCATAATAGACCCTACAAAGTATATATATTCTGGATCAGCGTAAAATTCTAAGACGATCTAGCGATGTTCGTCTGTCCGTCCGTCTGTCTCTTGTAATCACGCTATCTTTCGAACGAATTGAGATAGAAGGCTAAAATTTTGCACCCATGTTTATTTTTCCAATAGGCAGATTAAGTTTGTAAATGGGCCATGGAGATCCACGTTTTCATATAGCCCCATATAATGGTACCTCCCGATATTCGGTATTTTGATGATTTTAGCGACATTATTCACCGGAATTGTAACAAATTTCGCATTGGAAGATCTTAATGGGTACTACAATCTATGACAAAAAATTGCATATGCAGGTTCACGTTTTCATATAGCCTCCATATAACAACACTTCCCGATATTCGGTATTTTCATGATTTTAGCGGCATTATTCTCCGAAATTGTTTCAAATTTGGTAGTTGAAGTGAGTAATGGATACTACAGCCTAAGACAAAAAATTGTCTGTGCAGGCCCACGTCTTTGTATAGCCCCCATATAACGGTACCTCCCAATATTCGGTATTCTGACAATTTTCACCGGAATTGTTTCAAATTACGTATTTAGAGTTCGAAATGGGAGCTACAGTCTCTGGTAGAAAATTGGCTATGCAGGTGCAGGTCTCCGTATAGGCCCCATATATCTTTACCTCTGTATATTCGACATTTTGACGATTTTAGGTACAAAACCCACCGAAATTGTTTGAAATGTCGTATTTGAAGTTAGTAATGGATGCTACTGCCTGAGACAGAAATTTGTCTATGCTGATCCAGGTCTTCGCACACAGCTCCGATATAACGGTACCGCCCTGTATTCGATATTTTGATGATTTTAGCTACATTATTCACCGTTTATTTCCAGTTTCGAATTTGAATTTGGTAATGACTTATGGCAAACAATGCCTATGTAGGTCCACGTCGTATAGACACCAATATAACGGCTATATTCGGTATTTTTAAAAATTTTAGCAGAATTTTTTAAGGATTTTTTTTTTTGAAAATTTCAAAATTCGTTCCATATGCTGGAGGGTATTCAAAGTTCGGCCCGGCTGAACTTACTGCTTTTTAACTTTTTTTATACAAAATTTTTAGCTGTTTTTGCATTCTCTTTTGATTGTGTATGTATGCATAAAGAGACACCAGCTGAGCGACATTTAAGAGTGTATATAAACACACAAGATCAATCCATTGGATCCAATTAACCTTTCTTAATTCTATCATAGTAAAATTTTATCTAGTAAAAAGTGTTAAAAATTAACGATATAATTGCGTATTGTCCTCAGTTGGAATACGCTGAATTTAATATATGTGTACAAGGTTTTATACTTTATAAAACCTTTATTTAATGGTAGAAGAATTTAGGTAAATGCATCAACGCTGGGGAGCATTGATATGTCAACATTTTTTAAGTGTTTTGTCAAAAATAAGTCGATTTTTATATGTTTTCTTATGCGACGCAAATCGGAGGTTGTACTGATATGTATTTTTCAACAATTTTTAAAAATTTCAATAATTTTTCAATCACGATTTTCAATATCAAAATCGGTTTGACAGTTGTCCCAGCAGCTGTGTCGATGCGACTACCTGCATTCTTCTACCATGATCCCTCCCAAGGTTTATATCATATCTTTATATAGTAAAATATTAAATAACCACTTTAGTTGTCCTTTTGATACTTTTTCATTATTCGACTTAATCTTCTCCAAAAAAAAAAATATTGGTCTAAACAAGTTCAAATAATTAGTCTACAGAATTGTATGCATGTGGGTCTATCTGCATGTAGATTTCTGAGCGAATGCAACATTGAACTTGTACGTCAATTACAACATTCACTTTCTTGAAATATGTGTGCCTTTCTGTTGATTTCGCATTGCATGTCAGCGCTGAATTTATTTCGGGGAAATGGGAAAATGTATTCAACAAACACAGCAAATTAGTCTTAGTTAATTTTCCTTATTCTTGACATTCGGAAGATTTTTTTAATTGTCCCCTAATTAAGATGCTTTGATTTTGTAATTATAATGCAATTGACAAAAAGAAAAACATTCGCAATGACAGATTTTCTGTTAGTAAATTCATGGAGGTAATAGGAATTAGTAACGCTCATAACTAAGGAAATTCTATTCAGTGTAAACAATATATGATAGAATTAAGAAGGTAGATTCATACAATCATATGATTAATTTTTTTCTCAAAATTATTCATTTGACAACATCTTATCTTGAAATAAGCGGTGAATAATGTAGCTAAAATCATCAAAATATATAGGGCGGTACTGTTATATCGGAGCTGTGCGATCCATCATAGACAATTTTCTGTCACAGGCTGTAGCATCCATTACGAACTTCAAATACGACATCTCAAACAATTTCGGTGGGTATTGTACCTAAAAGCGTCAAAATGCCGAATATAGGGAGGTACTAATATATGGGGCCTATACGAAGACCTGGACCTGCACAGACAATTTTCTGTCGCAGACTGTAGTTCACATAACGAACTTTAAATACCAAATTTGAAACAATTCCGGTGAATAATGTCGCTAAAATCATCAAAATACCAAATATAGGGAGGTACCGTTATATGGGGGCTATACGAAGACGTAGACCTGCACAGATAATTTTCTGTCTTAGGCTGTAGTATCCATTTCGAACTTCAAATACCAAATTTTAAATAATTCCGGTGAATAATGACTCTAAAATCATCAAAATACCGAATATCGGGAAATACCGAATATGGGGACTATATGAAGACGTGGTCCTGCACAGATAGTTTTCTGTCTTATTTTTCAAGTGACAGCTCATTATATTTTTTACAAGCGTACAAAAGCATATTGGTGAGAATTTTCCAGTGATGGAATTCAAGCGCGATAGTGAGATTTCTTTATATTTGACTGGAAAATCGACATATGGCTATCGCTAGAGCACTTCAGCATTTAAATGTGAATAAATCTCTTGGGTCTCGTACCATCGCTCGTTACCGTGATACTGGTAGCGTAGCCCGACGTCAAGGAAGTGGACGAAAGAAAAATGTCAGCAGAAATGTTTCGAAAAGTAAAGAAGCGACTTGGTCGAAACCCGCGCCGCAGTGACCGAAAAATGGCTCGTGAACTGAACACATCGCAATATTCCATTCGGCAAATATTGTAAAAGGAGCTCGGGGTTAAGCCATTGAAATTCCAAAAAGTGCAAGAACTTACACCGCGACAGAAAGGAAATAGACTCAAGAGAGCTAAAGAATTGCTTCGCTTGACCGAAAGTGGTGAACTGCCGAATTTGGTTTTCTCCGATGAGTATACATTCGTTGTCCAGCAGCTTGTAAACAAACAAAATGATGGTGCTTACTTGCTATAGAGGTCAGCTGAAAATGTGCACCTTCGGTTGGCCATCAGAACCTAAGCGCCGGTCATGGCGATGGTGTGGGCCGCATTAACAACCGGTGGTCGCTCTCCGCTCGTATTAATCGACCGTGGCATCAAAATAAATGTCGAATATTATCGCGAAAAATATTCTGAAGGGTGTGCCTTGGGCACGCAAACATTTTGGCCGCAGACCTTGGACATTCCAACAGGACTCGGCAGCATCGCACTCAGCACGCGCCACCCAAGAATGGTTACAAAATGAGGTTTCTCGCTTCATTTCCAGCGCACAAATGCCACCAAAATCTCCGGATACCAATCCGTTGGACTATTGTGTCTGGAGTATTTTGGAAAGCAAGGTTGGCCCTAAGAAAATACCAAAGTGTCGATCACCTCAAGCAAGCGCTTCGCCTGGAATGGGCCAAAATATCGCTGATCAACATTCGGGCAGCGTGTGACGGTTTCATTGGCCGTTTGAAGGCCATAATTCGTGCCAAAGGTGACCAATTCGAACAAATCTAAACTTATTCTAAATTTTCATGCTATTTCCGACGTTTTTTGCTTTCATTCAAAAAAATTAAAAAAAAGGAAAAACTGTGGCTTTTGACTTTGTTGCAGTTTTTTTCGTGTCACCCTGTATGTTAATACTATACTATAAAACTTTGGGTGGAAATACATAAAGCGCATATTTGGCTGGCTTAAGTCATCGGCTGGCTTCTTCGTAGATGAACAAAGGTGTTTTAGGTTGACTTAGTTCGATTTTGGCAGTAGGCTCCTTTGTTCATTTCCGAAGAAGCCAGCCAGATAAGTGCTTTATTTATTCCCACTTTTTTTTGCTTTGCCAAAGAAATCTGTGAACTCCCCATAGTAATTATGAAATATTTATTTTTTCGATTTTCAGGTCATTATTTTTCCTTTGCGTTCTGCCCAACATCCTCAATGGCTTCCATGTTAATTCCTACACAATGTTGGGCTATCTGCCCGAAGATCAGTGGTGTGAGGTGGACGACTTACAGTCAGCCAATTGGACAGAGGAACAGAAACGTAGCATTGTCCACAGAGATCTCGAAAGCAAAGGCTGTACCATTTGGGATTGGGATTACAGAGAGCTGAGTAAGATATCCTATGATGAGGCCTACAATTATACGGCAGCAATGTCGGAAATTAGCTTACCCACTGAGATTCCGTGTAAGGCCAAAGGCTCATATGCCTACTCATCGCCGGATGGTACCTTTGTGGCCGATTGGGATTTGGTGTGTGAAAAGGCCATACAAAGGACATCGGCCCAGGTTTTTGTGTCGCTAGGTAAATTCTTTGGTTCTTTTTCGTTTGGCATGATTTCGGATAGGTAAGTTTACAAAAAGAGAAAGAAGAAGTTGACAGTTATTTTGATTTGTCTCAATTGCCTTAGATTTGGCCGTAAAACAGCATTCACACTGGGCGCTGTGTTTTTCATGTTGTCCAGCATCTTTTGTACATTCTCACCATGGTATTCATTGTTTTTGGTTGGTCGCTTTGGTTTGGGCTCTGCATCATCGGGTTTATTTTATGCTGCCTATGCCATGTGTTTGTATTGATTTTAGTAATTATTTTTAAGGGAAATTCTTAAATATTAAAATAAAATTAATTGATTTTTTCAGTGATTGAAAATATTTGCCTGAAACATCGTTCCTGGATGTCATTGGCTTTTTCGGGCTCCTATCCCATTGGCATGATGTTAATGGCCTTGGCTTCATATTTGATAGAGGAACACTGGAGATATTTACAATTATCCCTGACGGTACCGGCCATGTTGCTGATATTGAATTGCTAGTAAGTTCTGAAAATTTAAATTAAAAAAGTAAATAATTTAATTGATTTATTTTCATGCAATTACTTTCAGTTTAATGAAGGAATCACCCCGCTGGCTATTAACACAAAAACGTTACGATCGCGCCTACAAGATTGTATTCAAACAGCCAAGTCATTATGAAATCAAGAAGCCGGCCATTGATTCTACAATTCTCAGCGATAAGAAAATCGTAAGATTTTTGATTATTTGGTTGAATTTTTTGTGCAAAATAACAAAAAAACAAAAAGGGAGGAAATCAAAGTAGGACTGACACGACTTACTAATACCTTACAAGTATTTTACGAGCTGGACAAAATTGAATTCAAAAAACAAATCGCAATATTAGTGATCTGAATTTTTATACCCTCAGCCATATGGCTACAGAGGGTGATACGGTGACTCATCGAAATAATGGTTTTATACCCTAGGTCTCTTTGGAACAAATCCGTTTCAGGACTTTTGGAGTCGATCTAGCGATTTCCGTTCGTCCGTCTGTCTGGCTGGTGCGCACAATAACTCTCGGAGGGAGTATGCGATTTGATCCAAACTTGGTACATCGTAAAATTATTGACAAACTTAGATCGAGTTCAGAGATGGGAAAAGTCGGTCCACTCCTTCTGGTAACTACCCCATTAACGGTCGAAATTTACAAAAAGAGAAAGGATAATCCAGAAAGAGAAAGGATAATCCAGAAAGAGAAAGGATAATCCGATTTTGCTCCAAGTTTGCAAATCCTAATATTTTCATTAGTGCTAGGACAGGTGCGAAAATCGACAATATGGGTCCACTCAATCAAATACCTCCCCACAAACGATCAAAATTTTACAAAAATTATAACTCTTATAAAATGTTGTGTAAGAGTTCGATTGCCTTCAAATTACACACATCCCAATTTTTTTATAAACTCAAGGTCTGGTGTGAAGATGGAATGTATCGGCCCACTCCTTCTGGCACCTCCCCCACAAAAGGTCGAAGTTTTCAAAAAATATATTTTCTGCACAGAAAGAGAAAGGATAATCCGATTTTGATCCAACTTTGCAAATCCTAATATTTGCGTCAGTACTAGGTCAGGTGCGAAAATTGATAATATCGGTCCACACCAACAAGTACCACCCCCACAAAGGGTCAAAATTTTGAATAATTACAACTCTTATATAATGTGATGTAAGAATCCGATTGTCTTAAAATTCCCACATTCCAATTTTTTTATAAACTCAAGATCTGGTGTTAAGATGAAATATATCGGTCCACTTCTTCTGGTACCTCTCCCACATAAGGTCGAAATTTTAAATATCCATTAATCTATGAAATTAAAATCCGATTCCATTTAGACTTGGCACTTCTGAAAATTTTCATCAAATTTTATAAAAACGGAAGAGATCGGACCATTCCTTGAGGTACCTCCTCCACAAAGGTTCAAAGTTTTGAATAATCAAAAATATTTTGGAATCCGAAGTAAACTTTAGTTTCTCTTTATATTTCACTCATTCCATTCTTTCTACTAACAAAAGATCTGTTATGAAGATGGGATATATCGGATCGGACCAGTTCTTCTGGTATCTCCCCCACAAAGAGTCAAAGTTTTGAATAACAAAAACGATTATAAAATCCGAAATAAGCATTCGGATCTCTTCAAATTCCACACAACACAATGTTTTTATTAACCCAAAGCCTGGTGTGAACATGGGATGTATTGGTCTACTCCCACTGGTACCTCTCCCATAAAGGGTCAAAATTTTGAATAACCAAAACGATTGTAAAATCCGAAATAAGCCTCCGGTTCCTTAATATTGCACACGTCCCATTATTTCTACTAACACAAGATCTGCTGTGAAGATGGGATATATAGGTACACTCCTTTTCATACCTACCCCACAAAGGGTCAAAATTTTGCATAACCAAAACGATTGTAAAATCCGAAATAAGCCTCCGGTTCCTTTAATATGTCACACATCACATTATTTCTACTAACATAAAATCTGCTGTGAAGATGAGATATATCGGTCCACTCCTTCTGGTACTTCCCTCACAAGCGGTCAAAATTTTGAACATCCATGAAGCTTATAAAACGCGAAACTTACAACCGATTCCATTCAGACTTGGTACATCTCAATATTTACAACAACACAAGATCTGTGATAAATATGGTAGTAATATTTACAACAACAGAAGATCTGTTATACAGATGGTAGAGATTGGACCAATTCTTCTGGTACCTTCCCCACATAGGGTTCTAGGTTTTTGAAAAACAAAACGCCCAAAGAAAGTGTATTAAGCATCAAACTCTCTTCAAATTTCACACATCCAAATATTTTTACTAACGCAAGATCTGCTGTGAATGAATATATCTGTGAACCACTTCTGATACAAAGCAACCACAAAGGGTCACAATGTTCAATACTTTTATCGGTCATAACTTGCGAAACAAGTCGGCGATTGTTTAAAACTTTCTATATCGAAACATTTCTCTGAAATCTGAAATGAATCTGTAATTTATCGAAATTTGTGATTTTCGATTCGATGTTCGATGTTCGATTTCCTTAAAATATTGCATATACCAATGTTTTTATCTGTATTATATGAAGTATGACAATGGAATAATTTAGTCCGCTATATATGTTGTCTCATGCATGATTCCACATTTTCCAAAACTGGCACATATAATGTATAGGAAATAGTCGACCAAATCTGACACGTTGTAATATTTATATAAGTTTTAGTTCATGTACGAATTGTTTATTATTAGCCAACTGCTTCGGAACCTCCCCCATAAAGGGTCAACAGTGTGAATAATCATCACTCAAGGCTGGGGGTATAAATCTGTCGGCAAGACCGACTAATACAGTTTTACTTGTTTTTTTTTTTTTTTTTTTTTTTTTTTTTTTTTTTTATTTTGATAATAATTTTTGAAAATCATTTCTGCAATGATTTGAAATTTTGTTTAATTCATGACGTTTATGTATCAAACACTTTAAAAGACTTGTTTAATCTAGATTATGACTTCATGGGTTAACTGGGTTCAAAAATGTCAATCTAGGCTAAATGCCCGACCGAAATTCAATTTTTTGGATTTTAATAGATTTGATAATGAAAAGTAAGCTAGCAATATAGGGCAATTATAATATTTATAAAATCTTCGAGATTATAATTGCGCATCAAAACAAAAAAAAAAAACGGTAATTAATTTGAGTTTAAAACAATACAATTAAAAAAATGAAAAGAAAAATGATCACAATGGGTGATATTTTAATGGCAAATACGCCAATACGTATTATATATTCTGATTTAAATTATAAAACAATAACCGGATTTGATTTGGGAAAAATAAAATTGTATTCTGGTAATTAAAATTGCGGTTCAAATTTCTTCTAGAATCAAAGCTATGCTACTTTATAAGTCCTTTTTATGTCTCAACCTCTGTCGACGGGTATTGATTTGTCTATTGACTAGAACTTTTATCTAAGTGTTATATAAATTGTTTAAAATTACTTACTCTAACTTCTTTATTATTTATTAAAAATAATTATTCCTATATTCATTATTCAGGAAGAACCAACTATTTCCAAATGGCAACAATTGCGGGAGGGTCCTTTGAAACACATCATTGAACTTTTTGCCACCTCTAAGGTTCGCAAATTGATATTCACTTCGTATTTCATGTTCTGTGTTACCTCGTTGTCCTACTACGTTACGGGTAAGGATGAATTATTTACTGATTACTTAAAAATATTTTACATTTTTCATATATGTATCCTTTATAGCTTTGAATGCCGCCAACATGGATGTTAGTCGTCATTTATATGTTGCCATCACCGGTCTCGTTGATTTGCCATCTTTGCTTTTGCCTGTGATTATGTTACGTTACAGCGGTCGTAGGATTACGACAATGTCTTTGTTCTTTTTAACCGGCATTGCTTTGATCATGGTGATGGTTGTTCCACAGGGTAAGTTGAAATGGTTGTTAATTAAAATATAATATTTGAAAATACATAAGGAAACCCTACCCGAAATGGGAGTAAAGTAGAGCCACAATACGACATCAGCACTTAGCCTGATATCATTGCGTCTGAATGTGACAATTTTCCCTTACCGGGATAGAACAAAGACAAACAAATAAATTCAAAGCATACTCTGAGGCGTATGTGTAATGAGCATCTAGTAATGGTGTTGCCAGACCACATTTGTCATATTTGTTATGAACCATGCATGAAAGCAGAAATGGATAGGAATCACGGTAGAAGAATTCCAATTTTGGAATTGAAAATCTTGAATGAAAAATTATTTAAATTTGTAAAAATTGTTGAAAAATGCATTTCATAATAACCTCCGATTGGCGTAGTATTGGAAAACATATACAAATCTACCTATTTCTAAAGAAATATTAAAAATTTGTTGACATATCAATGTTTCCAGGTATTGATACATCTACCTATATTGTTCTACCATGATAGGAATATTTTGAAAAGTTTCTTTAAAAAAAAGTAAAATACTATCAGTCGGTTTTGCCGACAGATTTATACCCTAGCCTTGAGTTATGATTTTTCAAAATGTTTACCCTATATGGGGGAGATTCCGGAGCAGTTGGTTAATATTGACCAATTCATACCTGACCTAAGACTGATATAAATATTACAACAACAGAAAATTTTTAAATATGCGTGATGTAACAGATATAGCTGACCGAAGTATTCCATTTTCATACTTCATCTAGTACAGATAAAAATATTGGTATGTGCAAAATTTGCAGGAAATCGAAAACTTATATCCAATTTTATGCGAAATTATAAATTTCGATAAAGCACATATTTATATCAGATTTCTGGTTATATTATATATAGCCGGAATCTTATTTCGCATTTTATGATCTTTTTTGTTATTCAAAATTTTGACCTTTGTGGGGGAGGTACCAGAAGGAATGGTTCGATCTATACCATCTTCATAACAGATCTTGTGTTGATATAACTATAGAGATGTGCCAAGTCTGCATGGAATTGGATGTTATTTTAGCCTTTTATGAGCTTCATGAGTATTCAAAATTGTGACCCTTTTGTGGAAGAGGTACCAAAAGGAGTGGACCGATATATTCTATCTTCACACCAGACCTTGGATTAGTAAAAATATTGTGAAGACAATCGGACATTTACATCACATTTTATAAGAGTAATAATTATTCCAAATTTTGACCCTTTATGGGGGAGGTACTTGATGGAGTTGACCTACATTGCACCTGACCTAGTGCTGATGCAAATATTAGGATTTGCAAAGTTGGAACAATATCGGATTATCCCTTCTCTTTCTGTGCAGAAAATTATTTTCTTTGAAAATATTGACATTTTGTGGGGATGGTACAAGAAGGAGTAAACCGATATTGCCCATCTCCGAAGTTGATCTAAGTTTGACAATAATATTACGATGTACCAAGTTTGGATCATATCGGATACTCCCAGACAGACAGACGGACGGACATCGCTTGATCGAATCCTGAAACGGATCTGGACTTTTCGATGAGGCACGTTTTAGTCGTATCAAATGATATATATCCTCTGTAGCCATATGGCTGAGGGTATAATAAGCCTCAGAATTTCAACAAAAAACGTTGCTTTTATATCAAACCTATAGTGAGTAGAGACATTGTGCCGAAGTATATGATATTTGTGTAAATGCAAAACATAAAAAAATAATAATTTTATAAATGATCCGTTCCAGAATATAACGATAACCGATATTCCTTTTATGATATCGAAGAAAATCGCAAAAATAGTAGATTCCAAGTAGATTCTTTCTCATACCAAAATGTTGAAAAATCTTCAAATCTGTCAAGTAGAAAATTGTAAAATTGTTAGATATTCATATTTCAAATTTTTTATAAATACCAAATCTTTTTTATCTTTTTTAGAAAGCACCGTATGGATTGTGGCCTTTGCTATGTTGGGTCGTTTTGGAATAAGTGCCACATACTCGGTAGTTACGTTATACACAGCTGAGTTATATCCAACGGAAATTCGTGGCTCAGCTTTGGGTACATGTTCAACATGGGCTCATGTCGGTTCCATTTCGGCACCCTATGCTGTTGATTTATTGGTAAGACTTTTGAAAATAAAAACACCTTCGAAAACATCCCTTCTAAATTCTGTATAAACTATTTTTTAGGGTCCCCTGGGTTGGTATATACCCACAACAATATGTGGTTGCTGCGTTCTAGTAGCTGGCCTGCTAACTTTGACATTACCAGAAACTGGTACTGGTAAACTTGTTGATCGTGTCGAGGAGGTGCCATCTGAATCGAATACAGATGCTGAATGTGATGAAGTAAATAAAACAAAAAATTAACGATAAATGCTGGATAAGAACCATATTAGTGTTATATAAGTTATTTTTTGTCTTTTTCCGTTGTATGCATTTTGTTTTACTGAATATTTTCAGTAACTATTGTATTTATAACTAGCATAATTAATTGTATGTTTGTGTATTATCTAGTGTAGTTTGTTAAGTTAAACGATTTGTTAAAAAACCCAATATTTTCGTAAAATATTTTAGACAAAAATGTTAGAAACTAAATCGAATAATAAATGTGGAAACACGTAGTTCTTAATCACCAATTACCAATCGTATCCATTCGATATAGGGACCGGTTACGGTGTACACACTTGGTATGCCAATGAGGCCACAGGTCAAACCATGTGATACAATGCCATAAATATAATCAATGCCATCATATTTACATATCAATGGTCCACCAGAATCGCCCTGGACCAAAAGAACAACTCTATTTTTATGGATTTTTTTTAAAATATTGAGGGTTTACCTGACAGGTGTCCTGACCATAACCCAGGGCACAAACTGTATTGGCACCCTTTTGTGGAGCCCAAACATAGCCCAATAAGTGACGACATTTCTTATTGCTAATTACATAGACTTCGGCCTCTTCCAGATAATCCTGCGAAAGTCCAGCATGATGTTTGGCCCCGAAACCAATTATTTTACAGGGATCTGTAAGGAAATTAGTTAAGAGTTTAAAGACAATTTTAAATATTTAATTTAAGTTTTACCTTTTCTATATGCCTTCATGCCATAGTGGGGTAGTTTTCCATAAAAATTGAATTGTGGCGGTAGGGACGACCTGTAGGGGTGCTTTAAACGCAGCAGTGCTATATCATTTTGTAAACTTCCTCTGAAAACAAAAAATATGTATAAAAGTAAGTATATACCAAATTTGTGATCCCCATATACAAATATGTCAAATTTCAAAAATTTACTTGATTTAATTATTGATGAAGTGCTTTCAATAATTAAATCAAGTAAATTTTTGAAATTTGACCTATCTCCCTCATAAATTAAAATTTTCTGAATCTGAAATTAGGAATGCTATCTTTAACTTACGGTTGGAACGAAATAAATTCTATTTTATCCACTGCAAGTCTTTCCAACGGATTGATGTTTGTCAAGTTCTCATGACCAATAATTGCAAATATTGTGTTCACGTTTCTAAAAAGAGATAACAAGTAAATAAATATTATAGTGCAGTTAACTTTGGACAGTAACGAAATTAAATTTTTAATTTTGGAATGCGATGGTTATGTCCTCTCATCCGATATTCAAAATCCAAACCATAAAACATACTTGCGCCACAAACAGTGTCCAGCCGTTAGTATCCATTTTTCATTTAGCAGTGTACCGCCACAAAAATGCTTAAAATACGATTCTCTTTCCGGGATAATGAACTCTTCCTGCAGCGAAACCATATAAGGATATTTCGGAATACCTGAAATATATTATATATTATTTTTCATATATTTTCACTACAAAATCGCATATCTACTCAATAAAATAATATTTACCCCAATTACCACTCCTTGTAACTGGTTTACCACCCACAATTGGTATGGATTCGGTTGATGTCTGTAGGGCACTGACAACAAATATAAAACTATAGATTAACATCGTCAACAACTAGGCTACCAACAATAATTGACGTTGAAATGAATTTGTTGAACATCTTTCAAAACAGCGGTAGTAAAAATAATTCTTTGGAGGCAAGCTTTATTCGAATTCAAGCTGTTTAAATACAAAAAGAAAAATAAACGAGGTGTGGATAGATGACATGGGAAATTTTTTCTTATAAACTGTTTTATTGTTTTTTAAATTCAATTCCAATAGGAGGCAAATCTTATTTTAATTAAAGTATTGATTGAAAAAGATTCGTATAAAATGCTTCCCCTTTATAGAAACTTTTCTTACTCCCAATAAAATTGTTGGATTTCACGGTATGAATTATTCCTGGACTGGAATTGTTCTTTAATAGAAGACGTTCAAATGCCTCTTTACAGTTAAAATAACTTGAGTAGATCATCTACAGCTGGAACACCTTCTATTACAGAAACGCCACTGAAATGTTATCATTTCCAGTTTTTGGGGTGTTTGGTGTGATCTTTTAACTTCTTTGCAGGTACAGACCAAAATCCGTAAAAAGAAAACTCAAATCTTTCAATCAAATGAAAATTAAATTATCTGTTCCAGAGCTCCAAGAGTGTAAAAATGTTTACTAGGATAACCGATTTTCCCTTTATGATATCGAATATAAATTGAAAAATAGTAAATTCTTGCAAAGTTCTAGAACAGAGTAAATAACATTATTGGACCAATTAAAGACAAGGCAAACAACTTTCTTTACATTCATATTTTCAAATTTTCCCATATATGTGAACAACGGCAGAAACAGGTGAATTCCACTAACAATAGAATTTTACTTTCCCTGAACGTAAACACAACAATGGGTAATGGCAACCCTACCAAAACAACTCACATCTAAGGAAACGTATTTTGATTTTTAGATCCCTAGGCGTGCCTAGCCAACATTTTTGCAAAATCAACAAAAATGGATAAACGCTTGGAAAGGTAAGTTATTTTATTAACTAAATACAATTTTGATTTCTAATGTAATCAATTGATAATTAATAACTGTAATTTATAAAATATATTGTACTAAAGACTTTCCTTAGCATCTCATGCCAATGGTGCAAGTGATGAAAACAGTGAATTCATCAGTGAAGATTCTGAAAGGGAAGATGTAGAAAACGGTGGCGTTGGAAATGGCATCCGAAACTCAGGAAACAGTAGTAGCAATGGTCTAATTATCAATGAGACCGGTTTGTGTGCATTGTGTGGTAAAACGTCGATATGCAAATGTGAACGTTGCGGTGATTTCTATTGCTCACCACAATGCCAGCGGAAGGATTGGCCAAATCACCGGTTCATATGTTTTCCCATGCCGTAAGTAATTGAAATTTGCAAGTGATTAAAATTTTTAATTTTTTTTTTCATAATTTTAGACGACTGATCAAATCCGGTCAACCATGTGTGATAAAAGAACCCATACCCCTGCTTAAAGCCGAGACAAAATCAGTTGAAATGCACAAAGAAGAGAGTAGGCAAGCTTTTAAAGCAAGACAGCTGAGTTTTATACCCTCGCCCACACAATTGCCAGCAGATGGTAGCATTGTTATACTGACTGGTTTCAAATCGGCAAATCGTTGCTATATACGTTCCGCTGATCCAGCCATTACAGAAGAATATCAAAAAAATCTCAAAAAAATTGATAACTTTGGAAAAAATTCGCACGAAGTTAACAGTGTACCGAAAGCCAACACCTTTGCGATGGCCCAAAAAGATGAACAATGGTGTCGCGTACAAATTCTTTCGGCACGTCCAGACAATCGCATACGCATTCATTTTATTGATTATGGCACTATTGGAATACGTTATCTACGAGAATTACGTAGAATATCTAATACAATGTCCAGCTTGCCATGTTTTGTTCACATGGTGCAACTGCACAATGTTACAGTGTACTCAATGGAAACGAAATTTCTGGAACATATATCACAAAATGTTGACAAAGAGTTTAGGATGCGTCGGGTCGAATCCGATTCCATGGGTGGCAATATCGAGCTGTATTATGCGGACACAGAAAAGCTACTTAATACCGAAATCTTGACAGCATGTCAAGAGTTCAGTGGAAAGGAATCAGAGAATGTTTCTTCAAATAACAATGACAAGGAAAGCTCACCAGATAAGGGCGCGGAAAGCTCATCGGTTGTAAGCAATAATAATGTTGCGTCTGGAAGTGCAAAGGAAACTAATTCCTCAATAGAAGCAACTCCTCCCAAAAAATCACAAATTGTGTGTAATACACCGGTTAAGAATGATGTTGATAATAAATCTCCCGGCAGCAGTGGTAAAAAGAAGAATCTTCCACCTCCACCAAGACAATTACCTAAACCCTGCATGATACCGGTAAGTATGAAAGAGTTAGAGCCTTTATAAAGATCTGATAAAAAATATGTCCGTAAAAATTGTTTTAGATAACAATGTCCTTTCGTTTGAAAATAAATGGGCATAATTTTTTAAACGCATATAAATAAGCTTTATTTTTTTTTTAAATTTCAGCCATTCGAAACTATACCATTTGATGCAAATGCCAAAAATGTTAAAATTGTTGTTGTTGACAACTCCTACGTTAGTCGTGGATATGTGGGTTGCATTTTAGAAAAGGACTGTGACAAACTGCAGTCTATCCAAAAGTTTCTACAAAATTATGATGGATCCGGGCAGGCCTACAAACCAAAGTAAGTCGTAATGTTAACACCAAAGGACGAAATTATTAACCACATACATTTTATTTTTAGACTTGAAGAATATTGCATCGCTGAATTTGAATCCGAATGGTATCGAGGTAAAGTGGTTGAAGTTTTGGATGAAGATAAATTTCTCATAGCCTATATAGATTTCACCAATGAATGTGAGCTAACAAGTGCATCGATACGTCGGTATCCCATGTCTTTGACAATACCTTGTTGCACAAATCTGTGTGCAATAGATGGTGGGTATTTTAATTTTTTTGTTTATTGTATTTATATTAAATGCCGCTGTTTTTGTAGGTCTTCCCCAAGAGTTAAGTGACGATCTAATAGAATTCCTGGAGAAAGAATTGTGCGATTTTAAGAAAATACATGTTGACAATATAAAAATATTTGATGACATAACATTTATTGAAAGCAAGGAACTGCTAAAAAAATTACACAATGCAAAACTAATCTAAGATGACTCACCGGGGCAGCCAATTACTCGCCAAATCCTATTATTTTTAATTTTACTCATAATTATTGATTTTTTTGGTATCGTATTTCAATTTGTATTTGAAAATAATCTCATTAAGTAACAAAACATTTCTTTTTATAGCATGCCATTTAAATGCTCGGAATTTTTCCAAGTGTGTTCTTTTATGATTGTTTATACATTGCCAAAGTTTTGATTTTAAATTTACCTTCAATAAAATTGCGAAGACGAATGATATACTCAAATATTTAAAGATGAGCGAAAATATTAAACTTTATAATTTTATTGTTTATCACTTTGACATACACACATCTGCGACCTGCCAGTGTTGAGGGATCTTATTGGTATTTCGGTGTAGAAAATCTTTTCCAAACCCACAAGAAAAGAACAAATTTGATAAAATTAAACGACGTTTTATTTAAAAAAAAAAATGAATTTCATTTCACTCCGCAATTGCATACAAAATGGTCAGGTAAAATTAAAAATAATAGATTGAATAAAACTTAAAAATTAGGGAAATTCAATAAAAAAAAATATATATGCATATATAGTGCCTCCAGGGCTTAAGCGATAATTGTATCCAGACCATGTACCTTGGCAAGGTACGCATCGCTTTCTGGTATTTGTGTTACATGGGCTTTAACAATGGGATTTGTTTGCAATGATTTTGCAAACTTCAAAGCCTGCTCCTTGGTCTTTATACCTAAAAGAAAAACATATTTAGAACTCATTCATCCAATATTATACTATGTTATTGGCTTTTTCCTTTCCTTACCTTCAATATAGACCATATTGGCATTTGAGGGAAACATGAGATCAGGTATCATTGGCATGATATCTTTTTTGCTGACTTTTGATAGATTGCCATAGTCGAGGAATAACACCAAAAAGTTGTCATTTTGCGAGTCAATGCACATGGCACGATACCATTGGCCATCGTCAGCAAAAACGGACAGGCACAATTCCATTTTCCTAAATGTAAAAATACAACTTTAATAAAAGAAATTAATATAATAATGTCACACTTGCTTTGGAGCATAGCCCCCCTTTGGAGCTTTTGGACTATTACAATATTCAGCAACAGAGGCTAGACTGGTTTCCAATTTTCTTAAGTACGCCTTGTTACTAAAATCAGCCGCAGTTATATAGGGACCATCTAAATTCACAATTGATGTGGCATCTAAGGTGTAGAGTTCAGCATTCTCCCCACATTGGATGGGTATAATTTCCAAATCATCAAGTGTTAGAATCTTGGGCGAAATGACAGAAGCTGCGGCTGCTTGTGGGGGCTCTACCGTGATGGGAGTGTTGGGCGGTGTTAGGGTCATTGCAACGGGTGCCCTTTCATTTACAACTACTCTTTTTGGAACTTCCGGCGGTGGCTGTTGTTGTTGGGTCGTATTATCATAAAGTGGTGCCGTTGCTGGCATATCTGCTGCATCAAACACAAGTGGTAATAATTTTTTACAAAGCGATTGCCTTTCCTTGGTCCGGAATAGCAAGTCCACTCCAGTATTTTCTTTATCTGAAAATACTTCGAATTCCGCTGCATTTTCCATACATTTCTCCAATGAAGTCAAGGCTTTGTTATAGGCAATTGGTGTGGGAACGGTTGATAAATACATGAGTTTAATTAGGGAACATCGCACGGGAAGATATCTGATTAGATTCGTGGGTTTGAAGAGATATTTTCGATCTACGCTGAATTCTCCACCTTTGTCAATGTTTTTAATTCGGTAAGAGTTTGCTTCGCATTCGATTATCTGGAAGATGGAAAGTAATTGGTGATTATTATTGGCATAATAATATTATCAATATGTCCAAATTATTGTTGAATTGAGATAAATTGAGAGTCTGAACCATGAAAGAGGATGGAATCCGTTTGGACTCGTTTTGGCAAAAATCTAAATCTAAACACTAAACTCACCTGTCCACGATATTTATGTCCATGTAGATCGCATACAAAAACAACAGCATCCTTTTTCAATTCATCGCTGGTGCCAGCATTGAAAGGAATGCATTTCCCATGTTCCGCTTCAAATATTTTATCATAATCTCTAGTTTCGAGGGCTGCTATATACACTTCTTTAAATGTTATGACATGGCTTACGGTTACAAATGAGCCAGGACCAGGGAGATCATACCACAAGTCTATATCCAGCTCCTTAATGCAGCCGGTAAAGACCGAAGCTATTACGACATCCACAATTTTGCGCGAATCCTCAAATAGAGCACATGACAAATGTGTCTTGGAATCTTTTCCTGCTGTTACCGATGTGGCAGGCAACAATTGTATGGATAATTTTTTGACAGTTGCCAACATAGTTTCCGATAGCATATATTCCACAGAGTTTGTGGAAACAGCAAACACTTGCATGGGATGACACAAGAATGCACTGGGTATGCGTTTGATTTGTGGCGAACGTGTTATGAAACCCTCATCAATGGCATAAACCAAATACTCGTGGCCCTTTTCCCAATGTGCCAGTAGGCGGGCACGTTTCCAACCATGCTTAGTGCGTGCTGCAACAAATGTCCCCTCACTTGGCACCTTTTCAAATTCATATTGTATGGTTTGTTCCGAATTCAAGACCTCATCGAGGGAATTCAATTCTTCGTTACCATTCAAGCGTAACAATGCATGGCGGCCATCCACAAAATATTTGACAACAGTAAGCGATTTCTCTTTCGTCAGCAATTCCACAGGTAATTCCATGGGTATGGACTTCTCTTTGCTCTCGACATTGTAATAGCCTTCAGAATGTTTTTGTCCCACAATTTTAATGGTCACAACAGATTCAATGTTCAAGGGACCACAATCGCCGCGCAAGCAAACTCGAAAAGCGTAAGCATTTAAATTCGCCATAATGGGTATGGGTGCAAAAAGTTGGTTGTATGGAATCCTCAATTCGTTGCCATAATCGATTAGACGTACATCAGCCTTTTGTGCCTGGGCGGAGCAATCTAAAACCTCTGCTCTGTAGAGAATTTTCCCCAATGGTGCTGCCACCAATGCTCCAGGATATATAAGCTCACCCTTACAAGGTTCTTGTTGATTAATGTTACGATTTATTTCGGCCAGTAGTTTACGCAATGGACCATCATATTTAATATCGGTTACCCATAGGAAGTGTTTGTTTGCCTGATCTGCTTCTTCGACAAATTGAATGATGGCATCGAAATAGCCATTGGGTGGCGGGAAATGCATGCGCCAGTTGGCAGGTTTTTCTGCTGTATTAACAGGGTTCAAAATATTGTTCACGGTCTTGGGTGGTGCAACATCTACAATGACAGTAGGTATTGGTGTAGATGTAGCGACAGCTTTTGTGACAAGTGTAAAATCTCCATCTTGTAAAAGTTTTTTGGGTTTAGCTCCAGTACAAGATTCGCCGCATTCTATGGGATTTCGAGCCTTCGTACCAGCGAAGGTGCTGCTGTTGCTACGCTTTGTATCGTTTATATTCTCTTTTGAGCCGCCGTGAGAGCGTCGAAATGATGTATCACTTTTGAGACTCAAATTGTGCATAGGTATTAAATTCCTAGAAAGAAATAACATTAAATTAACGATTTGAACACACTAAGTTAGTGTGGGTATTATTCTTAAGAGAATTTAATACGTACAAGCTTTAAAAAATGAATCAGATCAAAAACAATCAAACAAGAATCTACCATCTTTATAAAATATCTTGTCTTGATGGAAATATTGAGATGTACTAAGTCTGAATGGAAATAATTTCGCGTTTAATGAGCTTCATGGATACCCAAAAATTTGACCCTTTTGTGGTGTAGGTACTAGAAGGAGGGGAACGATATATCCCAATTTCACACTAGTCCTTGGGTTAATAAAAATATTGTGATTTGTGAAATTTGAAGAAAACTGGAAGCTCTTTTCGGATTTTATAATCGTTTTGGTTATCCAAAACTTTGAGCATTTGTGGGGGAGGTACCAGAAGGAATTGTCCGATCTCTACCATCTTTATAGCAGATTTTGTGTTGATAGAAATATTGAGATGTGCCAAGTCTGAATGGAATCGGAGGTCAATTTCCCGTTTTATGAGCTAAATGGTTATTCAGAATTTTGAACATTTGTGGGGGAGGTACCAGAAGAAGTGGACCATTTTCACGCCAGACCTTGAAGTTAATAAAAATATAGTGAAGTGTGTAATTTGAAGACAAGTGGGCGCTTACATCACACTTTATAAGATTTATAATTAATCAAAATTTTCACCCTTTGTGCGGGAGGTACTTGATGGAATTGACCGATTTTGTCCAAATATTAGGATTCCCAAAGTTAGAGCTAAATCGGATTATGCTTTCTCTTTCTGTGCAATAATTATTTTCTTTGAAAATGTTGACATTTTGTGTGGGAGGTACCAGAAGGAGTGGACCGATATTGCCCATCTCCGAACCTGATTTAAATTTGATAATAATATTGCGATGTACCAAGTTTGGATAAAATCGGATACTCCCTTCGAGAGTTATCGTGCGTACCCGCCAGCCAGACAGACGGACGGACGGAGTAACTTCGCTAGATTGACTGCAAATGTCCTGAAACGGATTTCGTCCAAAGAGACCTAGGGTCTAAGAACGTTATTTCGATGAGGCACGGAAATCGAGCAGGATTTTTTGGAAACTTCCTACGGCTTAACTTTAACCGTTATTAAAATGTGATTGAAATTTCATTGATGATATTAACACCGGGAACTATGTACATTTAAATTATGTATATTATTCTAGTGGAGCTCCATGTGGTTTTCGTAAATATCACCCAAAAAAATGAATTTCACCGTTTTAAGCTGGACTACAAAAACTTGCTGTGTACTTTCACTACCATCACAAATTCAATCCCTCGTATAAACCAAGAACATAAGAAGACTGTGGGTAATATTTTATTTAAAATCAATCATGGAATCTGTTGCTACTTGTTTCCCTTGACCTAGCCTTCCCCAACACTTCCCAATCCATTCCAAGTACTTACGGAATTTTAAAGCATCTCGATTTGTGATCTTGCCAATCACCAACTTGACAATCAGAACTGCAATAGGGCTCCAGACAACGCTCACAATAGAATTTCCCAGGTTGGCGGCATTTTGAGCACGGCAATTCAGACATTTTGCTTAAAGAATATTATTAAAAACACTATTTAAAAAGGAATATGTATCGAACGCGAAAAATTTTACTGAAAAATTCCTTGACCGAACAAAATGCAAATATGAATGACCGCGTACAATGTGAAGCGTCGAATAACTAGAGCTGTCAAACTATCGAAAGCACTATCGATAGTATCGATAGTTTATTTTTTTAAGCTAATATCGATATTTTTAAATCACTATCGATAGTATCGGCAAAATGTCATCACTTACGCATATGTTGTGACGCTGCGACTTTTTGGGTAAGAGAAATAAACAACAGCTAAGTAATAATTATATTTAAGTTGACGGTTCTTCGATACCAATATTAGTGTTGAAGAACACAATTTTTTCAATTGTATTGAAATTGAAAATCAACGTATCTTTTTCGGATTTCAAAATTTTTATTTAAATAAGATAGTCGTTCAAAAGTTTTTTTTTATGTTCCAAAAAATGTTTCATCGCTTTAATGAATTCAAAAAATTTTATTTTAATTGGAACTTAAAAAAAATGTAAATTAATATTTAAAAATATTTATTTTTAATAGAACGTATTTTAATTTTAAATGTAATTTTATGGATTCGCCTTAAAGCACTATATATAGTTCATTGTCATTGTCACTATATATAGTTCAAGTCATTGCCCTTAGCGCTTTTGTTTTTTCCTTTTTATATTCTTGAATAAAAATGTTATATTGTTGTTATATTGGTAATTTGTTCTTCAGGAAAAATAATACTGATTTGTAGATAATCAGTAAACATGATTTAATCATATAGCCTTCCCGGCCAACTTTAACCGGTCCTATACCGTTGCATTATATGACTAAGTGTTGCTGATTGTAACATCTGAAAGAATGTTACGAATTCGAATCTGTCCATCTAATTCTTGTATGTCTTACAAAATATCCCTCCCCATATTAGGCTCGACTCTATACAAAATATCCCTCCCAATATTAGGCTCCGGGGCTCGAAAAACTCCATATGACTTTAGATACTAGACAAATTCGTCATGCTGCACTAACCAGGCGAGAAATGCAATATTCAGTCCAATTATGAATAAAAATTCCTAATGAAAAAAATTATTTGAAAAATTGAGTTGGAAAATTGGAAATTGAATTGGTGAATTGTTCCTGAGGATTTTTTAAAGGGAGAAATTTTATATTATAATTATATATCCGATACTATCGATAGTATCGATAGTTTTACAACAAACTATCGAAACTATCGAATGGGACGAATATCGATAGTTTGACAGCTCTACGAATAACGGAACTTTTTTACACATTGTTAGGGATAACTAAGTCGACTTTGTAAATATGTGCAGAAAGATGGAATGTGAAAGCACATAAGAATGATGCTTTAAATGAAACCAAAAAGAAGAAGAATGATTCAATTGAAGTATGCGCCAAAAAGCAGGCAATAGTTTGCGAGGTTAAGGAAATCTTTAAATGTTTAATGCCAGGAGTACTTTAATTAAATCATTATTTCTATAATTTATGATAAAAAAAGTCTTAAGAATTTTGTCATAGATTCAATTAATCTTATAACTGTGCGTAGATATTTTTCGGCTTTGTCATGAATTTACTTCCAGAGCTGGAACTTAGCTTTACCCCATTTAAAATAACCAAATCCCAAGTATTTTGTTATATGAATATGTATGAGCTACAACAACTGATGATTTTACAATAACAACATTGTTGTTATAGAATTATAAATGTCAAATAAAATAAAAATAGTGGTTTCCAAAGAAATTATTGTTTTCCTTCTCTAACAGGGGATTCCCCAAATATGAAGAGGTATGATTCGAGGCGGGCTGTATTTAATAATGAAACATTACTGATGCAGGATAAGAGCATGGGTTCGAATTTAATAAAATACAAAAAATGACTTTGTTTATTTTTTCGAGGTGAGCTTAGAGGTAGTAAAAAGGCATTATGGATACTTGGTGTGGATAATGGCAGTGTTTTGGAAAGTTTTATATATGGCAAAGTCATATTAAGAATATGCGAACAATCCAAGTTAATGTGCAAGCCAAAAGACTTCATTGGCTAGATAAACAGTACAGCCCGTTGCCATTCATTGGAAAATTTTCCAGAGCTATCTGGGACTTCCCAACAACATTTTAGAATGTACCGCCATGTACCTCTAAAAGCCGGATGGCGGAGAGAAACAGATAATGGTCAGACCCCAATGGGGTATTTCTTTGGTCAATGTCGATAGAGCTTCCGAGGCCTTTAGTATTACAGATACCACAACTAGATAAGCTTATCGAATGTCAGCAATGAATTTACGGGAAGCAAATTTTGTTAGTCATTGTTGGGGCAGTCTTGTGGCACATTCAATCTTCGAGCGGAATAACTACCTAATCACGATTTACAAATATCGCTCTTTGTCTGGGAGAACCGTATACATACGTGTTAGTGGATCCGAATCTGGACAGATTTTAAATAACCCAGGGATTTTCAGTTGATATATTTCAGTTGGATTTAAGTAATTTTCCTAAAGTAGAAGGCGATTGCAATTTCGACTTAGACGTCGGAAATTAATTATAAGACCTTCATTATGAATAACATATACGGATAGTCCTTCCAGACTGTTGCCTTTTTTAACAGTTGGATTACAAATAAGTTCGATCCATTCTTTGTATCAAAATTCAAGGTTAATTTGAATTTCTTACAAAATTTGTTGTTTTATATACAATAAAAAACACAGCAGACATTTAAATATTTAATAATTAGTTTTTATTCCCACATTTTATGTAGAACATGAGTATTTCAAACACACACAAAACAAACAATAAAACAAAAGAAAATCTAAAATAAAAATTAACTGAAATCCTATCAAAAAATATATATAATTATTTAATGGACATTAAATCCATCAATCAATTTGAAGATGGTCCTAGAATTCCTAAATAAATATTATATTAAAAATAAATCACAGTTTATAGTAAATAAATACAAATAAATCAATGTTATAATGTATAGATTACGAAACCCCTCAAACTTTGTGAATTATTTTCAAATTTAAGTCGATATGGCAGACAAAATGTTACTACGATACAATCACGCTTATTATATATGTCATATAATTATATATTTATTATAAAATTTTTATGAAAATATATGAGAATAAAAATTGTTTTTTTTAATGGGAAATTTTAGTCATCAATATAAAATCGTTCTATTTTTTTAATAGCTGATTAAATGTTAATGGAAATATTGAATTTTCAAATTTACATTTAATAAAACCATTCTTTTATTTTTAAATTACTTTCAAACTTTTCAATTTTTTCAACTAATTTGCAAATTGATTAATCAATGTTTTTAATTTCCCATTTTTTCTTTTGTTTTCCAGTTTAAAAAAGAAGATAAAAGACAATTTGTTTATATTTCATAACATTTTTTTATTTATTTATTTTTTTGTTTGGTTTTTTTGTAATTTCTTTTCGACGATTTTTGTTTAATTTCTTATATTGCATTTTTTGATACAAAAAAGCTTTGCTTTAAATAAAAAATCATTAAAATTAAATAAAAATAGAATTAACATAAAAAATAAGCGTAATTGTGCGTAAAAAGTTTTCAACTTTACGAAAGATTTGTTAAAATTAAAATTTTAAGCTTCTTTGTGTTTTTTGGGATTAATGTTTTGGGGGGGGGGCGAGTAGATGAGATGAATAGGGGGGGGGGTCGATGAGGTTATTCTAATGCACACAATTTAAATGAATTGGAATTGGGAAAATTTTAAACTATACACAAATTCAACTAAAAATGTGGTATTTGAGAAAATGACGACTAAAAAATAAATGCAAATTCTATAAATTAACTAAAATTATAAAAAATAAATAATAATTCTTATAAAATACTAAAGGGGTTGGGACATCATTTGTTTACAAAAAGGTTGAGCTTCCTACAATTGTTGGGGGTGGGGGTTCTTTTTACAAATACAATCATCAATTGCAAATAAAAATTCAATATAAAATAAAAATGAGGAAATTGTCTCAAAAGGGGAGCGACGGGGTCAAGAAATAAAAATCAACAAAACGAACTAATAATCAAATAATAACTAAAACTGACAATAACAATGACAAATATTTTTTTACATAGATTAGCGTTTGTTTGGGCGGGTGTTGTTCAAGTTGTCAGGCTGTTGGTGTTGGCTACACCGTTTACAGCATCAAACGGGAACGAGACTTCTTCATGCGGGTAGTGCCGCCACCCAAATCACCATTCCATGACTTTGACTTGGCACGGAAGATGCGATATTCTTCATTGTAGGCTGGTTCCAACATGGGGCGGTAGGCATGGGGTTCGCAGAGCTCAATGTGATTTTCAAAAAACTCTTTGTAGCCGTTGTGCAACAGATAGACCTCGGGATAATCCAAGGCGGGGTAGGCGTTGGTATTGCGTGCACGATCGTAGTTGCGCAAGAAGCGCGACAATTTGGGTCCACGTTCGGAGGAGAACTCACAGTGGAAGATGATGATATTGCGCTTGTTGCCGGAGGCTTCATTGCGGGCCTGTTGCATTTCAGTCATTTGTTGGGACAAGAACTCCTCGATGATTTGTTCTTGGGTGTAGAGGTTCTTGGCGCCACGGATGTGACCACCCTCGTATTCATAGGGGTAACGGCAATCGATGATTCTGTAGTTGGCTACTTTATCATCGAATTCACCACGCAAGAGACGGGCTACGGTTTCACTGCTAATCGACTTGAGATCACGATGACGTCCTGGAATCAGGGGCAAGACATAGGGTTTGCTGAAATCACCGATTAAATCGGGTTCGTCATTGTTTTCCGAACGGTTGAGGGCAGACATAATTTCGGCATCGTTCATGGACATGCATTTGCGCAGGCTGGGGCGGGGAGCGGCTGTGGTGCTGGGGGAGGTGTTTTTGTTTTGCAGACCAGTGAATGAACCATCTAAGTTTTCTTTTTCATCGCCACGGTAACGCTTGCTTTGGATGGGAGAGCAAGTGGTGGATGGTGGTTCGGGACGCTTGAAGCTGCCGTTCAAACGGGAGGCAGAGTTGTTGTTGGCAGCAGCGTTTAGACTACTTTCGGGGGTCTTGGATGTGTATTGGTTGTTTTCAGTCATGCTCAAACAACGTCTCACGGAGGGGCGGCGCATTTCTGGAGTTTTGACGGGGGAGTTCTTGATGATTTGACCACTGATCAGAGAGCTCAAATCGCTGGGGAAATTCTGTTGTTGCTGGGGTTCAAGATTTTCCATATCGAAAAATTCCATGTATTCATCATCCATGGACGATTCCATGGAGCCGGTGGAGGACAAGCTTTGGAATACACGGAAGCTACCCTTTGAGGGAGTGTTGGAGCTGGTGACTGTGTTGTTGGCATTTTTCACGGCCACTGTTTTGAGAGTCAAGGCCTTGCGGCTGTGCAAGAATTTGTTGGATTTGTCGACAATTTGGAAGCGTTCGGGTGAACCTTCTGGGGACAGAAGACCCATCAATTGTGGACTGGCTGTGAAGTGACGATCCTGTGAGGAGTGATCGTCACCGTAGAAAGACAATTCATCCATGGTCATGTCTGGCATGGAAGCATCCAAATTCAAGCGGCGTGACAGAGGATTGCGGGCAGTTCTTTGGATTTGGAAACTAAAAATAGAACAAAAGAGAAAAAATAAATTAGTAAATATTTCTTTTACATTTTTTTGTAATATTGAAAAATATTTCAAAGTTAAATAAAAAGACGATATGTACATCAAGCAAATTTCCAAAGGACGGCAGCAATGAGTGAGGCAACGACGATTGCTGCCACAATCGGCAAACAAAATGAAAAACTGTACGATCATGTTGAGGGTAGAAATGCGACTGAGCGCTGAGTTGGCTGACAATTTGTAGAGGACGACTAACTCAGAGGAGGGTTCATTAAACTCGAGGGTTGTAATTGCTGGTGTGTGTTGTTGGCGTATAGCACACCATGTGCGGCGGCTGTCCCATTTCGTTGAGGCAAGAGGAATTGGAATTTTTGTAAATTAGAAAAACTGAGGGGTTTTTAGAAAACCAACGGTGCAGATGTTTAACACATCACATTAGGGCGAACACAAGAAGGAACGACAAAAAAATGTAAACAAAATATTTGCCGTGAAGTCAGTCACTTATTCTTCTTCTTTTTTTAATGCACCACCACCACCACCAAGGCCAAAAAATGGAAGAACTTTTGTCGAGGAGTGCAACAAAGCATAAAATAATAGGCATATGTTCAAGCATTGCCAAGAAATTGTGTTTATGGCCAACAAAATTATTGGGTCAGGTCGAGAACATAGCCGGCTAAAACATTTTTGTTATTACACCGGTCGTTCGGTGTCTTTATGAATGAATGAATGGATGGATGGCTGTGGGGCCGGACGGTCAGTCACACAACCCCAAGACATAACATAACCATGAGTAAAGCTCCAACTGGGCAAGAGAGAGCTTTTGGTTATTGCAGCAAACAAAAACTTTTGCTTTCATTTGAAGGTTGCCGGCTAAGCAAATCTCAGTTGGAGTTTGGAAATATTTTTTGTTTTTTGCTTGGAGCCCAGAGGCGTACATTGTCGTTCAATTTTGCAGGTAATCCACAGTTTTGCAAAATAAACCATTTGATGATATTTACCTTTGGTAATCCATGGCAATATCTCCGGATTCTTCAATGATTGATTCCCACAACATTGTGTTTGTGTGTGTGTGTAAGGTTTTAATTGGTGTTGTTGAAAATGTTTAAACTTTTTTGTTAAATTGTTAAAACACAATTTTCACTTTGTATTTTTTGTTGTTGTTTAATAATAGTGTTTGTAGTAATGCACAATTGTTTGAGATGATTTTGTTAAGAGAAGTGTAAGTCTCTTGTTTGTGTGGCGAGTGTTAAGAATAGTTCATATTGCAGTTTTGTATTTTTGGTTTGATATTTATCAAATCCTTTTGAGCATATTTTGTTAATTTTTTTAAGTTAATCCAAATAATTTTTATTTTTGATTATTTTTTTGGAGTGCAGTAGTAATACAGGGCAAATGCTGCTTTACTGCTGCTGAACGTTGCTGAAGAGAAGACGAACTCGAATGACTGACTTTGCTGAGACAACGGCGGTTTATATACACGACGTCAACGCAGCAAATGCAATGCAAAACCTCTGCTCCTGCTCAACAATCGATAAACCCACCACCATTGCACACACACTCACTCTGTGTTGCTCTCGTTGAATATCAGCAGCGCGGCAACAACAAATGTCTCTGCCACTGAGCCGAGTGTTGGCAATCAGCTGTGTTGTATTCTCACAATACGCAATATCAGCCGTAGAGAGAGAGAGAGAGTGGGAAGAGTAAGGCTCAACATTACTGTCAAAGAGTGCAACAACAATGCAATGGAAAAGAAAAAGAAAGGGCATTCTATTCTAAGGATTGCGCTCGACAGAATTTCATTTTTGTAGTAGAAAAAAAAAAAAAAACAACAACCAAATTTGCTGCTGTGGCAAAGGAAAGGCTAAAGCAAGTATTGGTGTCGCCACTGCTCTCCACTCAGATAGCCAAGAAGAAAGAAAAAACAAATTCTTCAAGAATTCAAGACAAGAAAGGCTCACACAACAGCAGCAAAGAGTAACACTGAGAGATGAAGATGAAAAGACGAAAATGAAAATAACAACAAAAACCATATGATTTTTGTTTTTGTTTGGGCCTACACACATATGAGAAGAAAGATTTTAAACTCCAACAACAGCAATGGGCCAGCAACCAAAAGGACAGACAGAGGATCAATCTGGGAAACAAGTGTAATGGAATTTTAAAGCTTACACAGAGTGAAGGGGAAAAATAAATAAATAGAAATGGAAAATTGTAAATCTCAGTAAATAACACCAAAAAAAAGAGGGGAAAACCATATAAGAAATGCGATGAGTAGAATGTGTGCTACAAAGATGACCCCCTACTCCTTTTATTTTTTCGGTCCTTTAAAATGCTTGAAGTTATGTATCCATTGAAAAATATATATATATGTGTCTTCGGTGACCAACTGAACGTCTTACATATCTACTTATCCTTGAATAAATCCCCTTGAACTTGTGAAGAAGCCTTGGTTTTCGGTAATCACTTGGAGGCTGTGGCTTTATGAATGCCAAACAATTTTTGGCGCGCAAGCTTTTATACCGGCAAACTTGAAGCCTGTCCTCTCACACACTATTGCAAATGGGGGAGAGCAATATAGCCCCCCACCACACACACACACACACTTACACAGATGAACAACAAACAAATCACGAATCAATGAACCGAACACGATACGAAAACTTGGGGGAGCAGCAGCTCAAAAATGTTGCTCATGATGATGATGATTATGATGTTGGTGGAGCGCAGAGAACCCACATTCAGGTAATCGGCAAACTTGGAATTTCTTGAGAAATAAAATGCCAAAGTAATGTTGTTGTTTGTCCTCGCGTGTAGCCAGCCAGCCCAACAAAAAGTTAGAGTATTATTTGTTGTCATTAGCCGGCCGCCGCTGCTGCCGTTCATGTGTGTATGGTGGGCTGTTTGTTTTTTTATTGTTGGTTTTGTGCTTTTTTTTGCACCGTTCATTGTTGGTGGTATTTTGTGCTTTTGGCTGGGATGTCTGCGCGCAAACAAAGAAATTCTTCTGCAAAATCAACACAATGAAACTCCTTCTGCTTCTTCTTCATCTTGGTGTTCTCTCACTCTCTTGGGCTCACATACAACTCCCCGCCAAACTTAAAATATATATTTTTTAAGGGCATCCTATACATACATACATATTTATTTTAGTTAATAAATCTTTGAATAAATCTCTGAGCTCGCTCGCTCTATGCAAAAATGAGCGGAGAAAGAGCAGAAATGGAATTTTGCGCGCCTTATTATTTGCTGCTGCTGCAAGTAACTAGGTATGTAGTTGAAGAACAGAAAAAAATAATGAAAAAAAGCGGCAAACTTTATAGAACAACAGCACAAAGGATTTTTTTCATCGGCAAAGCACAGCACAGACGAGACATTATCAATGGGGAGGTGGTTTGGAGAATAACAGAGAAAAAAAACAACACAGAATACTTTTAACTAAAACAAGTTTGTGTGGACAAGTACCACATACATACATGCATGTAGTATACAATGTGCTTGATGGGGGTCTCCTTTTCTAGTTGTTGTTGTTATTGTTATGCTCCTATATAGTAAATATGTGTACATACTTAAGTATGCACTTGGTTTCTCGGAGATTAGTACTACTCTATGTAAATGTGAGATTATAGAAATAATTGAGTAACTAAGTTAAAGAAAGAAAAAAAAGCGCCAAATTGCGATAAGAACTATTGCAAAAATCAAATATAAATATTTAAAGAAAATAGTGTATTTTGACATTTAATTAGATGGGGAAATTTTTAAATAATTGCTAGAAATAGGTACTAGTAAACTTGAGGACATTTTAATATAGGAAAATTTCCCTGAATTTCTGGGAGAGTGAAAAGAGAAAGGGAGAAAGAGGTGTTTAAGAGACAATTAGTTACTCGATGGAGAAGTCGGTTTGTTAAAACTACAAAAGCCTTAATAACGATCAGGATGTTTTTGGATTTGAAGAAATTTTATAGGTATTTAAAATACCTAAATTGTTATTAAACATTTAACTGGGGATCTTGTAAAATATTTGAAGAAAATAGGTACCTACATGATTAGGGCTGGAAATATGAACCAAATTTAAGCCGTTAACTAAAAGTTTTGTTGGTAGCAGCCTATGTTTTTGGGAGAAAATAAAAGCCATGGAAGATTTTGCTTCGAATTTTGTAGCAGCTCAAAAATATACGGTTGGTATTTTGCAATTTTTGGATTTTAAACCTCTATTGTTTAATATTTTTTTCCTTATTTCAGAGACCTCTTTCAAAATGGCTTGTTGTTCCGCAAAAAATGATTTTTGCAAAGATTTACAAAGAGTCTGTCTGGCAGTATACCTTTTTGGTAGAAAATTCATGTTATGGCTTCCTAGAAGTTTTTGCTTTGAATCTTCAGCTGTTCCAAATATTGGCTTTGTATTTTGCAATTTTTAGATTTCAAACCTTTATTGATTAATATATCTAACTTAATTTTAGAATCCTTTTTCAAAAGTGCCTTGTTGTTGTTCTACAAAAATGTAACTTTTGCAAAGATTTCCAAAGAGTCCAAGCAACCAAGAAGTTTTACAATCTTACATAATATGGTTATGGCTATGTGTTCACCAAGAGGCCCCGGGATCTGTATTCAAATACCAAGGAAAAGCCATTGATATATTTCAATGGTATTTGAAGAAGAGTGGGATTTAGTTCTCGTATTTTTTTCAAAAGCCTGCAAAAGCCTGGTATCAACAACAAGAGGAATTTGTCGAACAGCAATAAATATGTATGTATGCATGTATGTCTTATGGATTTCAAATGAAACATTTGTGTATACAGTGACAACCGCATGGTCTTCCCCATGACGACTATGGAGGGTTTATGGAAGGGTTAAACGAAGCAAATTAAACATACAAAATGTATAATTAAATTTTTAAATATTTCTCGCCTCTACTAGGCCATAGGAAAAATATTGAAATTAGTTTTGTAAGAGGGTATGTCATACAAGCACATATACTGACAAAACAATATGTATTTTATT